TAACTTTCCCTCTTCTAAACCAATTTTTTATAAACATTATGTGAATGATATAATTGCTATTTTTAATTCTGAATATGAAGCCCAAGAATTTTTTAATTGTTTTGATAAACAATTTAAAAATTTGAAATTTATGATGTAAGAAGTGCAAGAAAACCAGATTGCTTTTTTAGATGTAAAAAATTTCTTTCAACAAAAAAACTAAAAGTTAAAGAAGCACTTCACATTAAATGGGAAAATCCCTCACTTAATAAACAAACTTTTCATTATAACATTGACCTATCTATTTAATTAAAATGACAGTTAATTTTATTTTAATTATATTGATTGGTTATTTTACTGAGTCATTTTGTAATCATTTTATTTTTTTTGTATGTATATTTTTTGTCGGTTAATATTTCTTTGAATTGTCTTCTATTTTTTAATATTCCAGAATTTTTTTTATTGTAAAATCATTTTTTTGAAAATGTAATATAAAATTACAAAACACGTCAAGATTTAAAAATATTGCCTTATTTTTAAAAATATTAATTTAGATTATTAATGTATTATTAATTTTTAATTTTTGAAATAATATGTTGATTTTAAAATTTTTACACCTTTTGAAATGTTTACAAACTATATGATAAAGCTTATTGTTCTATATGGTTAGTATGTTGTTGTAGTATGGGTGTAATATGGTTTCTATGTTGTTGTAATATGGTTGTAATATGGTTGCAATATGGTTGTAATATGGTTGCAATATGGTTGCAATATGGTTGCAGCATATTAATAAAATTAAAGTATTTCACATTGTCTTGTACATAACTTATGGTCTAAAGTTACATATTGGTTTTTATATTATTATTTTATCTATTTAAAGACTATTATTGTTGTCTTATTTATTTGATATTTATTATTGTCTTGTTTATTCAATATTCTATTATTATCTTAGTTTATTGTTTTTGTATTAATAAATTTTTATATTTTTCTGTTGTTGAATTTTTTATTTTTAATTAAGTGTAATTTTTTTATATTTAATTCATTAAAATTTTATTTTTAGACATTTGACAGAGTAATGGGTAAGTTTTAACATGTTTTAGACATTTGATAGAGTAATAGGTAAGTTTTAACATGTTTTAGACATATGATAGAGTAATGTTTTAAAATGTTTTCCAAGATTAATTAATGATTACTATTTTTTTTTATTTTCTTCTACTCTAAAATGATAACCCAAGTTTATTGTTTTCACCAAATTATTCAACAAGTTCTTACTCTGCTTCAAGTATTATTCTACTTCAAGAAGATAAGATTTAACAAAAAAGTAGCTATAACTAAGGATCTTGCATAGTTTGGTCTCTTCATTTTGTCTTTGGTCATTCATTTTCTCAGAAATAAGTTCTGCTAATCAGTTATGCTTAAAATACACCAGTACTGCTCAAAGTACAATTAATGCTACTAATATAATTAATTCTGTCAGTGCCTCTTTTGTTAATATCTAATATTTACCATAATGTTATAAAAATATTTAAGGGCCTAGTCGTGATGCAAAAACCGGTGAAATCATTTGGAAACATAAAGTTTTAGACACAGATGGAATATGTCGAGCTGGTGAGCAGGTTTTAGATAAACAAGTTCTTGTAAACAAGTCAATGCCAACCATTACAAATCAATTAACACAAACAACTGCAGGTGATTTATTAACAAATTTTTTATTCCTTCTACAGATAATTTATTTTTGTTTAAATGATGTTTTACACTTGAAAAATAACTTTTTTAAGTGTAAAACATCTGAAATGTTTTACACTTAAACATCTGAAATGTTTTACACTTAAAAAAGTTATTTTTGCATAAAAATTAAGTTAATTTTTAAGCAAAAATGCTTTTAAAAAAATGTCAATTAAATGTATATTGAAGTTTTTTCAATATACATTTAATAATAGACATCTAAAAAAAAGATGATTTTCTAAAAAAAAAAGAGAATATTTAAAAGTAGTTTAAGTGTTGTTGTTTTTTTTTTAATTTTAAAAATTTTAAAATTATATATAATATAAAGTTTTTTTCATAGTTTTTTTATTAAAAGAAGTCTATTAAAAAATATCAGGCAGCGAGGTTTTTTTCACTATTTTTTAAATAATTAAATTCACATCTCTGCTTCTCCGAATGGGGCCACTGCAGTTGAGGAGACAACTTCTTTTTTTTTATGTTTGTGCATGCAAGTAGCTCTCTCAACTCTAAATTCTAAAAAAATTGTAAATTTCAATCAGTTTAAATATTATTAATGCATCAATAAGCAATAAGCAGATTCGAAAAAGAAATTTTGTTCAAATTTACCTAAAATGCAATCTCAAAATAACTTCAAGAATGATTATGCGAATTCAATCACAACTATTTTTTTAATTACAAAATAATCAGTATTAAATATTTCATGCTCCTTTAGGTCAGCTCAATACAACAGACTACAAAGATGTACCAACATCCTATCATGGTCCAATTCCTTCATATGTTGAAAAAGTTCTAATTAGTTCAACAATGGAAGATGCATTTTTAATTAAGATGCTTATGAGACAAACAAGAAGACCAGAAATTGGAGATAAGTTTAGTAGTAGACATGGACAGAAAGGGTAATTTTTTTTTGTTTTAGTTTTTTTTTTTGTTTAAGAATTTTTAATATTCTTTTTTCTTTTTCTTTTTTTTAAAAAAAACAACATTTTTTGTAACACATAAATGTTTTAATGAGAATAAGTTACAAAAACTTAAAAAAAAAGACAAACAAAAAAAAAAACTTATACTTATGGAAGGTTTTATGTAAAATAGTTGTGAATATTTCTTTTTTTATATTTGGTTGACACCAAATCTAATTTATTTTTTAAAAGTTTAATTTATTATTTAGGCATATAATTTATATAGTATGACTTAAAATTTTCAAAAATTTTAGAGTTTGCGGTTTAATTGTAAATCAAGAAGACATGCCTTTTACTGACCTGGTAAGTTGTCACTGTCTTTTATTGACCTGATAAGTTGTCTTCTGTTAAACACTTTTGTATTAATGTTTGGTAAATAAAGAATCATTAAAAACATTCTTGAATTTAAATCTTCCATTATTTTGCTTTGGTTATAACTAATCATTATTAATTTTTACTTATTCTTAATTATGCTAAAATGCATGTAGATTTATATTGATACTAACCCATTTATATTATTTCAATCATTATCACCTTCACCAAATGAAATTATACTGAAATAAAAATGTAATTGTGCTTTCTTACAGATTTTACTTTTCTTGATAAAATTATATTACTAATTGTTATATTTTTTTATTTTAGGGTATATGCCCAGATATAGTAAGTTTTTTTTTTTAAATTCAAACTCATATAGGGTAGATTTTTATTAGGAATGTACCGGAATTCCGGCCGGAATTTATGACTTTTTGGTTATTACAGTTCCGGCCAAAATTTTAATATTTCAGGCCAGAATTTATTTTTTCCTTTATTTATTTGAGACATTTGACACAGTGTAAATTAAATCATAAAATCATTGTCTTAATTGGTAAACCTAGATAAAAAAATTCTTAACAAATGTAATTTAAATTTAGGAAAACCTATAGTTTAGCCCTCTAAAATAATTTTATTTTTTCGCTTGTTACCCTCTCGTTAGTGGAGAGTTTTTAAATATTAGAAATTTTAGTTGAAATAATAAAAAAAAAAGATTGCTGCACTATGCCAAATCCTCAGTCAATGCAGCAACACTTCCTTGAAGAAGCAAGCTATAAGATAAAGTCAATAAATGTTCTGAGACTAAAGCCAATCAATGTTTTATTTTTGTTAAAAAGTCACCACTTTGAGCAAGTCTCCACACGAAAGCGCGACAAGCGATAAAATAAAATTATTTTTGACCACATCTGTAGCTTTGTCTAATTTTATTTGCAATAATCACATATATTGAGATTTCTAAAAGTTATGGAATTTCTAAAGATTTAAGATAAAGAGATTTCTTAAAGTTAAGGAATATTGTGGTGCAAAAAGTTTAGGAATATTGTGGTGCAAAAAGAGTTGCTATCCAATTTTTGGCACAAAACAAACTTTTCATTAAAAATGTTACCTGCCTCTGACAATAGTCTCATTTTTGATGTTTCTTAACTTTTAAATAGTTAAAAAGTATAGGATGCCTAATGCAGTAAATATTTCATATATATGTATAAATCAGAGCCGTAACCACTAGGGGGAGGGGGCCAGGGGGCCTTTGTCTCCTCAAAATTTTTTAAAATTATAATTATTAGAGAAAAACACATGTTTTTAATAAATATTTTATCCCCTTTTAATTTTTTATCCCATTTTATTCCCTCCTTTAAAAGAACCATAGACATCCCTAATATCAAAATTGTGGTTATGGCTCAGGCATAAACATATATATATATATATATATATATACATATATATATATATATATATATATATATATATATATATATATATATATATATATATATATATATATATATATATATATATATATATATATATATATATATATATATATATATATGTATATATATATATATATTTCTACAATTTTCTTTTTCAACAATTCCGGCAAATCCGGTTCCGGCCGGAATTCAAAATTTCCAATCCGGTACACCCCTAATTTTAATATATTTGTTTATGGAATCATATTATAGGATAAAAATGTAAAATATACTTTCTAAATTGAGTTCTAACTTCCAGTCTGTTTTGTTTTGACACCTGTTTCTATTAACTAAATTGTCTTATTGTTTTTTTTTAATTATTTGTTTTTACTGTTTGTTTTTTTAATGTTAATGTTATTGTTAACTTGTTATTGTAGATCATGAATCCTCATGGTTTTCCCTCAAGAATGACAGTTGGTAAACTTATAGAATTGCTTGCTGGGAAAGCAGGTGTCATGGAAGGAAAGTTTCATTATGGAACAGGTATATATATATATATATATATATATATATATATATATATATATATATATATATATATATACATATATATATAAATTTCTTTATTTTACTTTAATAAAATAAAAAATTGTTAATTGTTAAATGATTTAGTATATAAATATTTAAATGTTAATTAAAATAGCATTTGGTGGAAGTAAAGTTGTTGATGTTTGTGAAACTCTTGTAAATCATGGTTTCAACTATGCTGGAAAAGATTTTTTAACCTCTGGTATCAATGGGCAAGTTGTTTCATATAGTTTTGTATTTTTAAATTATATTGACCTGATTAGTTCAAGTTTTATATCTTGGTTACTATTATTACTTTTGTTATTATTTTTTTATATACCATTCTTATTTTAAAATACCATTTTTATTTTAAAATGCCATGCTTATTTAGTATATGATGTGTGTATTAGACAATATGTAAAAAATGTTCATAGTCAAAAATATGACTTTGAAATTTTTTTTTCAAAGTCATATTTTTGTGAGTAGTTTTAACTGCAACTGGTTTTAGCAGAAGTAACTGGTGATTTTTAGCAGAAGTAACTGGTGATATTTAGCGGAGGTAATTGGTGGTATTTAGCAAAAGTAACTGTTGATATTTAGCGGAAATAAAAAACTCTACTTAACATTTACAAATTAAGATTTACAACTTAACATTTACAAACACAAAAAGCACGAAAGCACTAATAATATTTTAAAACACCAAAAAGTTCATGAAAGCCAATATATGTTTTATACTAATTTGTTGGTGCTTATTTGAAACTTGTTTATCTCCATATCAAACCAATTTTTTAAAAAATTATAATTTTTGGGTTTTTAAAATTTTATTTTGGAAAACACTGCATTTTAAAAGGCAGGGTTTTTCAAAATAAAATATTTCATTCATTTTGTTCTTGTTTAAATAATTTTTATTAGTTTTTATTTATTGTAAATTTTTATTAAGTGTTTGGTGTAAAATTTCCCTTTGTAAAATATGTTTGGAGTTTGTTCCATGTCTGGAAATCTCAAACATTTAAATATATATATATATATATATATATATATATATATATATATATATATATATATATATATATATATATATATATATATATATATATATATATATGTTAAGGCTGTATATGCTGTATATGCCGGAATTATAAATAAAATTCCGGAAGGAATGAGAATTTTATTAATGTTATTTTTTACTTTCAATATTAAATTGGATTGCACCTCATCATCTTAGCTATATAATATATATTTAACCTATTTCATTCATTTTGTTCTTGTTTAAATAATTTTTATTAGTTTTTATTTATTGTAAATTTTTAACTGCATAAATTTTTTTAACTGCATTTTTATTTAAATTAATTCTTTATTTTTTATTTGTCTATTTAGATTAAAATATAAATTTTTACTGTATTTGTACTGCATCCTATAGTTTTTAACTATTTAAAATTACATTTGAACATCTAAAAAAAAAAATTTTTTTTGTTTGTTTGGAGATATTTTAAAACAAATGATGTCACAGATACATCAGCAGAATGTAAATCATGCAACAAAAATGTTAAACACGTTAGTAACCCAAAAACATTTAACACAGGACCACTTTATATGCATTTAAAAATATATAAAAAAAATATATATTTATATGCATTTAAAAATATATAGATACATATGATGAAGCTAAACAAGAAGAACAACAAGATAGGAGATAGAAGAAACCTACAGAAACAGTTTAATTAAATTAAAGATTAAAGAACAGAAAAAAATTATTAAAGAACAGAAAACAGAAAAGTGAAAAAAAATCAAAAGCTGAAAAAAATTCGAAACAATTAAGTCACAGACAAACTAGCATAGATGATTTTGTTCCTAAAAAAGTTTGGAATATAAAGGACTCTCGCTCCTTCAAAGTTATTCAAAGAATAATTAATTTTATTGCAATGGACAATTAACCTTTTTCTGTAGTTGAAGATCAGGGGTTCATTGAATTGATTGCTCACTTGCAACCACAATACTTAATTCCAAGTAGAAAGTTTTTTAAGGAAACAATGCTACCAGCATCATATGAAAAATTAAAAACCGTAGTATTTAATGACATATCTGCAGCTGATCATATTTTGTTTACAACAGATATTTGGACAAATACCCATAGTAATGATGCATTTATATCATTGACTGCGCATTGGATCACAGATAATTTTATTAGAAAACATTGTGTTCTACACTGTAAGCATTTTCCAGGGTCCCACACTGGAATAAATATTACTAATTTATTTGATGCGATGCTAGTTAATTGGAATATTTCCAAAAAGAAAATACATATTGTCCTTCGAGACAGTGCTTATAACATGCAACTTGGAATTGACTTGATGGAGTCCTCAGGCATCTCATGTTTTATTCATCAACTGCAGCTAGTTATCAAAGACGCTCTTTTTGACCAGGTTGCAGTATAAGACGTGATAAAGAAATGCAAAAGCATCTGCACTTATTTTAACTATTCGAGTTTGGCTTGTACCAAATTTAAAAAAATATAGAAAGAATTAGATTCACAAATCTCAACACCTTTATTACCAATCCAAGATGTTCCGACAAGATGGAATAGTACATATTTAATGTTAGATCGAATTGAAACTCTCAAAAGATCTATACAACTGTACACAGCAGACCATCCTCATTTTACTAAATTTAATATTTACTTTAAGTTAATGTGAGTTAATATAAAATGTGTTGGGACTTTTACAACCATTTTTTATGATTACTGATACAGTCAGTAAATCAAAATCAATGCTGTCATTAATCAATGTATGTCATTAACCATATTCAAGCATTACATAATTTTCTTGGAGGCCTTGCAGATAATTATAGAGTCCAATCAATGAAGAAGATGCTAAAAGAGACAATTGAAAAAAGATTCATGAGTAATGTTTTATTATATGGTCACTTTAATGTACTAATGAGCAAAGTACATGTTTTGTCCACAGCTGCTGAATCAAGGTATAAACTGTCACTTTTCTCTGATGAGCATAAACATTTGGCTAAAAGTTGGCTTTTGTCTGAGATAAAGGATCAAATAAATGAACAAAAAGAGATTAATATGAATAATATGTTAGAATCAGATTTATCTTCCTCCGATAGTTCTAATTCCTCACCAACCAATAAAGGTTGTCAGCCATCTAAATCAGTTTTATATGCATCAAATTTAAGAATGATAATTGCAAAAAAATTTCTTAATTGCTATGAGCCAGAAGAAAAAAGAAAAGGTAGAAAAAAGAAAAAAAAAAACTATTGGAATAACAGATGAGGAGATAAAAAAAAAAGAAATAAATTAGAAAGGAATAGGTAAATTAGAAAATGAAGAAGCAGTATTAAAATGGTGGAGCGCTAATAAGAGTTACTATCATCGTATATGCTGTATAGCAAGAAAACTTCTGTCAGTCCCTGCTTCATCTGTTTATTCAGAGAGACTGTTCTCAGAGGCAAGTAACATTTTTGAGGAAGAAAGAGCTAGTTTGTTGCCAAAAATGGGAAAGCAACTGTTATTTTTGCACCACAATATTACTAAATTTCCAGAAATCTTTAGTTAATTGATTAGTGTCCATTAATTAATTAAGTAAAGATTTCTGGAAATTTAGGAATATTATGTTCAAAGATTGGTGATAGAAAATAATTAATCAGAATGGGAAGAGGTCATGAGTGGAGTACCACAAGGATCAGTGCTAGGACCACTATTATTTGTAGTATATATTAATAATATCTCCAACAAAATAAAATCAAGCTTTAAACTATATGCTGACAGCATGAAAACTCTTAGAGCAATAAAAAAAAAAAAGGTTTGGTCTATTTTTTAAGATTAAATCCACAACAATTGAGATGGTTTCATCCAATGGAATATTTGTAAACAAACTTTCCACACCAAAGGAGACTAGGTAAGAGTTAGCTACTCTTACTTCTTTAAGTTCATTAACAAAGGCAAAGCTATCTTTGGTGCAATGATTCAGCTATGATGAAGTTATCTTTGGTGCAATGAACCTTAATACCTCCAAACTTGAATTAAAAAAACTATTTGAATTTTTAACCATGCAAATGCATTTCTTATTTAACAATGCATTTCTTATTTAATGGGATCTCCGCTAGCTCCTGCTTTAGCTAACTTATTTATGAGTCATCATGAAAACATTTGGTTACAAAACAATAATTGAAAAAAAGTAGTTTTATACAAAAGGTATGTAGATGATATCTTTTGTATCTTTAAAAATAACAATGGTGCACTCACTTTTCTAGAATATATAAATAAACAACATTTAAAATAAAAACAATCTAAAATTTACTAAAGAGGAAGAAGTTGATCATAAATTAAACTTTCTTGATATAACTTGATTAACTCTGATATTTTCTTTCTTGATATTTCTTGATTAACTCTGTAAATAGTAAATTTGATACTTCAATATTTTATAAAAAAACTTACTCAGGTTTACTGACTAATTTTACAAGCTTCACTAATTTTAATTATAAACTAGGACTCATTAAAACTCTAATTGACAGGGCCTTCAAAATCAACAACTGGGTAAGTTTTCATCTAGATATTGTAAAAGTTAAACAAACTCTCCAAAAAAAAACTCTTTCCTATTGAACTTAATTGACAAAACCTTAGAAATTTTACTAAACAACCTTATCTCTCCTAAAGAAAACAAGTCATCTTTAAAACCATCTGATATACATTACTTTAAACTCCCTTACATTGGACGAATTTCAAATACACTTCAACACAAATTAAATAAATATATTAAAAAATATTGTAAAGATAACATAAAAGCAAGACTAGTGTTTACTTCTTTCAAAATAAGTATTACATTTTCATCAAAAGTCCCCTTACCCTCAAATTTAAAATCCTTTGTTTTCTATAAATTTGTTTGTTCCAGCTGTAATGCTGGATACATTGGTAAAACCACCAATGTATCCAATGACACTACACAACAAGGGTTTCAGAACACTTAAATTCAGATAAGGCTTTCCATATTTACAAATATCTCAATTCATCACAAAAATGCAAAAATTCAACAAATCCTGATTGCTTTTCCATTATTGACAGAGCTTCCTCTTTCAATAATGGAAAAGCAATCAGGTATGAACTCAAAATTAAGGAAAGGGATCCATATTAAGATAGAAAAACCTCTTCTTAATACACAATTAAAATCATACACTATTAATATAACAATATAATTTCTCAATTATCTTACTTTTTATTTCCTATTTTGTTTATTATTAATTATTTCACACATATTGTATAATCTTTTGTAAAATTTCATGGTAATTATTTATGTTATGTAACTATGGTGACTATTGTAAAAAACTATTAAATGTAGACTATTAAATAAAAAAACTATTAATGTAGCTAAAAAAATTGTTTATTTACAGAAATTGTAACTAATTTTTTATACCTGATGATGTCAATTGATATTGATGAAACATGTCAAAAAGTTTAACAAAAAATTGTTATTTATTTGAAAATTAATAATTGTAGAAGATTTTTATCTACCTTTAGTTAAGACTGACTTTATACCGAATTTCTACTTAACATTGATTATTCCTACTTGCAATAATTTGATTTAACCAGTTTTTCTGAATGTTGCAGAATGTTTTTCTTATATTGATCTATCTAGTTTTCTGGCAGGCACATTCTCTTTTTCCTAATTTATATTATTTTTTCCTTTTCAAGTTTTATGTTAGTTGTTTACTTAGTCCGGTATAAATTTAGAAAATAATTAGAGATCTTTTACTCACCTTTTTTTTGTCTGCTGTTGTTGTTGTTTTTTTGTTAAAAAAACTGTAGTCTTTATTTTGCTAAATTTTTAATTATATAGGGAACCATTGTCTGCTTATATTTACATGGGTCCAGTGTACTACCAAAAATTAAAACACATGGTTTTGGATAAAATGCATGCTAGAGCCAAAGGACCACGGGCTGTACTAACACGCCAACCAACAGAAGGTCGCTCTAGAGATGGTGGCTTACGGTTAGGTGAAATGGAAAGAGACTGTTTAATTGGTTATGGAGCTAGCATGTTAATTGTAGAAAGACTAATGATTTCTAGTGATGCTTTTGAAATTGATGTTTGTAGTAAATGTGGCTTAATTGGTTATTCAGGCTGGTATGTTTTTTAATGTTATTTGTGTAATTATTATAAATTATATATATATATATATATATATATATATATATATATATATATATATATATATATATATATATATATATATATATATATATATATATATATATATATATTATCTTTATCTTAAAATAAACTTTAACTTGAAATATATATATATATATATATATATATATATATATATATATATATATATTATCTTTATCTTAAAATAAACTTTAACTTGAAATATATATATATATATATATATATATATATATATATATATATATATATATATATATATATATATATATATATATATATATATATATATATATATATATATATATATATATATATATATATATATTATCTTTATCTAATTGATTGTTGCACACAAAGGTTTGATTGTAGTTTAATTCATTAAAATTTATAATTTATAAATTTTAGGTGTCACTATTGTCAATCGTCTCATCACATATCAACTATTAAAATACCTTATGCCTGCAAGCTTTTATTTCAAGAGCTACAAGCAATGAATATAGTTCCTCGCATATCCTTAGAGAAATATCTTTCTTGATTTCATTTTTTTAATGTATTTTGTTTTTGTAAAAAATATTTATGTAAAATATATTTTTCTTAAAACTTCCTTGTTTTGTTTTTGGTTTTATGTATTTTTTTTCTTTATATCTATTTATTTTTATGGTTATTTGCTTCTGATTGTTTGGTTCTATAATTTTTTTTATTAAATTATTTTATTTACTTTATCTAATAATGGAAGTTTTTTAAATTTTGACTTAAATAGAGTTCGCTGTGTGCAAAATAATTTTCTTTCTTTGCACAAACATTGGATTGCATTTAAGTTACATATTATTGAATTGAAATATTTTTTTATTCAACAATATGATTTTTTATTTTCATACATGTTGCCACCAAAAATAATTTTATAATTGATTCAACATTGTTGTTTTGAGTTTTTCAATGTTTTTTTAAAAACTGTAGATACATTTAGATACATTTATCAATGTATTATATCTAGTGATCGACCGAGACAGAAAAAAAGCTAAAAGCAAAATAATCCAAAATTTTGGGTATTCAAATATTTTACCGAAACCAATACCAAAATTTTGGCAAGTCAAAATTTATTTTATTAGAAAAATTTATTTTAAAGTGCAATTTTACATTTTTTGTTTTTTTATACTCGTATTATGTTAAAATTAATTACAGGTGTACCCCAAATTGAGATTTAATACCTAAGTCAGCGATATAAATTAATAGAGAAATTTACCAACTGGCAGATTTTCTCTGCAAAGCAAGATTTTTTTGAGGTATTTTGTGAAAATACTCAAAATATTTTGTGAAAATTCTCAAAATATTTTGTGAAAATTTAAAAAATAACTGTTTTTCTATATTAGATAAACATCGGTTTTTAGTATGTTTTTCAACAGAAATATCGGTTTTTACAAAATTTTAAAAAAGTATCGTAACTGAAATTTTGGTATTGGTTCAAATTGAAATTTTGGCCAAAACAGAATTTCGGTTGATCGCTAATTATATCATAAATAAATTTTTATTAGATTATTTTTTGCTTCAATTAAAAAGGTCTCAACCAAATATTTGGTTAAAATTTTAGACTAAAAATTTGGACCAAGCTAAAGGTATACTATAAATATAAAGGTTTTATACTATAAATAATAAAGGGAGAAAATAGAAAAAGGGATAGAGGGCCTAACAAAAATACTATTAAAAAAAAAATTAAAAAATACTATTAAAAAAAATCATTTTCAAGAAAAATACATTTTCAATGAAACAAAATAATGTTTAATTTTTCTAATTGTAGGTTTTTAGTTAACAGAAGTTCTTCTTATTAAGCTGAGTTCTACATAAATATGTATGTATGTATGTATATATATATATATATATATATATATATATATATATATATATATATATATATATATATATATATATATATATATATTGATATTTAAGGCTGTTATTTAAAAATCATTTAATGTAGTTATAGAATTACAAACATTTTTTAATCAAAGGTACAACAAGAATACATTGTGTAAGTTATAATGTACCATTCCAACACAAAGTTGTTTTTCTTTTTTATAACACTATCTTCATTGACAAAAGTTAGCAGATTAAAAAATGTTTGATGTGGATCTTATGTGGTCGAGTTATGGTGCATTTAATGAAATGATATGTCTTTTAATTTAATGTTGTGATAATAATACCACATATTGCAGCCGATATCAATGCTTTATGTCATATACAGCCCACATCAATACTCTACCAAAAAGTTAAAGTTCTACCAAAAAGTTAAAGTTACATCAAGTTTTAATCTCAATTTTTCTTTTACTTCATATTTCTTAAAAAGTTTGTTTTAAATATCTTAATAAAATTAAGTTAAGATATTAAAAAGTATAATTGCCTTTTTTTATATAAAAGGTGTTAGAGATTATGAAAATTGTCATTTTAGCTTTTCTAAATTAGATTCCTTGAGGCTAAGCATGTTGGTATCTTTTAGTAACAACTTTCCTTAATGAAGTTTCTATAATTTACCATAATAAAGAGAAATTTACCATAATAAAAAGCCAAGCTAACTCTGGTTGTAATTTTTCTAAACTGGTTTTCCATTGTTTTGTTATTTAGAAAAGTTCAAGTTTGTTACAGAAATCAGTTTTTGTAACAATGTTTTTGGTACAGTTAGCATAAAGCTATTAGATCTTGTATTTTAGAACAAATGACTTTTAATTATTTTTAAAATTTTAACAATAATAGTATATATTTTATAATATTTTTTTACTCTAACAACTGCCGTAATGTTTACTTTATGTTTACTTGCTTCTTAACCTAATAAAGAAATAGTTAATTCTATAAATCACATATAATATTGACGTATTCTAAATTTGATCACTATTTTGTTACACTTATGACCACAATTTCATTTTCATTTTTTAATACACCTGCCCCAAGTGTTGAAACCATATCAAAAAAAATAACAAAATAAAGAAAAAGAAATTTGTTATAATAAACAAACTTCAGACTAGATAATAACTGCCTGAATCATTAGTCGATGTATTTACTATATACGTTGTTATAGTATATTATGTTTTATTTATTTTATTATTTTTATTTTGTTATTAGGTTTTGGGGAGAAAGTTTTTTAATTAAATTTTAATTAAAGTTTTTATAAAGTTTTTTTTCTTGTTTTTTAAAAGATTTATGTTTTCTATGCAGCTCAGAAACTATTGCAAAGATATATTGAAGCTCAGAAACTATTGCAAAGATATATTGAAAAGTATGTTGGTTTTATAGATAATGGATCCCACTAATATATGTCATTTAAATGGAAGTGAAATATTGGAAATTGCACGCTCATTTGCATCATCAATGGAATATGGAAAATCTTGTTCTTGTTATATGTTTCTGTTCTGCCGCGTAGATAGTTCATGTTTAAGTTATAAACAAGAATTTTTGTTTACATTCAAAAAATGGGTTAAAAAGCTTATTCTTATGGGAAAACTTTTAGAGTTTACTCAATTTATGGAAACTGTATTTGAAACTTGCCAACTAATCAAAATAGATATTGCCATTTATGCTGCACAAGTCTTATACAAAAACAGCCACATTTACCATGCTGTTAATATTTTGAATATATGCAAGAATGAAAATGACTTAAGAGTAACTGACTTCATTGAGCGTCTTAATAACATATTGGTAGAAAAATGGCATTTTAGAATGCTTAATGATAAAAAAAGAAATTCAGCATATGCATTGGCTTTGCAACATGCTTTTGAGCGTGGTCATAGATCAGTTTTGGATATTGGTTCAGGAACTGGTTTGCTCAGGTTTTACTATTTATTATTAAAATTCTTTTTTACTATACATTCACCTACCCAAAGCCAAGCGAACCTTAGCAATTAAGTAAGTTATTCAATTACATATTTTTACTTTTTTAGCCCTTTTTTTAATTGTGAATCATAAGTTTTGAGAATAAATGAGAAACAAGTTAAGAGTAATAAATAAAACTCGGAATGTGGTGAAGTTCGATTTCTGTATCTCTTGCTTATGAAGTGAGCCAGAGGTACATTTTAATAAACTTAAGTTAAATTGCATTAGAAAAATTAGTATTATAGAATGAAATTTTCATATTTTTTCATAAATTTTCATATTTTTTCATAAATTTTCATATTTTTTCATAAATTTTCATATTTTTTCATAAATTTTCATTAAAAAAAAAGTTGCAACTAAAAAAGATTTTTTATTTAAAAAAAATTAGTGAGTAACACAAAAAAATTACATTAATTTATCTACTTTTATTTATTAAAAGTTTATTATTTTATTAACTATTTTGTTGTGAAAGCAAAGATTATTTTTCTAAACATTATTTATTAAAAAGTAATCGCTGCGATTTAACTTACCATATAAAAAAAAAAGTTTAACTTACATTTTGTGCAAATTTTTGATGCAGTTATTTGTTTAAAATTTAATTTTGAGTTATAAAAAATGTTTTTGAGTAATAAAAAAATTTTCTTTTAAGAACAAATTAAATATTGAATAATACTTAGTAATATTTAAAAAATATATATATGGCAGTTTAGTTAAACCCAAGCATTAAATTTAATTTAAATAAACTTAAATATATTTTTTAAATCAAAATTTAGTTATATATTTTTTAAATCTAAATTTAATTTTATTTTTATCAGAATAAAATTATATATTTTTGTTAAATTAGTTTTGAATTAAATAATTTATTTTTTATCAGAAATAAATTACATTATAATGATCTTTGCTTCAAGCTTAAAGGGACTACCAAGTCCCGAGACATGTTGTGTTCATATTAAAGAGAATGTTAAAAAAAAATGTCTGAGCAAATTTTTTTTGATTAAAACTAATTAATAAATTTATACCAAGAAAAACAAATCTTGTTGTTTTAGTTGAAGCTCGTCTTCTCCGTTTTCTCTGGTATTTTGAGTATGTAAAATAAACGCGATTTTCCAGGCGCATTATACAGACTTGATAATTTATTCAAGCGCGTTTAATTCATAGGAGTTTTAGAGCATGACGTCATTGGAAACATTCTAGAAATTCTTTAAAAATTTTACTATTAAATTTTACTCAAATAGCTAACTATAGTTACTTATTTTATTAAAAGTTTTTTTTATTAATTGTTCGTTAGTTTTTTACAAATCTAACGAACAATTAATTAAACCAAGCACTAAGAAAAGATATAAAAATTAAGGATATACTAATAAGATATATAATTTGTAGTTAACTTTCAAAATTTTGACAATTTAAAAAATATATATTATAAAACATTTATTTTTGTAAACAAATGATAATAGTTTAAAAGTTTTACGGCTTTACAGATGTGGCTCCAAGAATGAGCCATAATGTTAAAGTAATAGTTCATTTGATTAATATATTCTTAAAAAAATTTATGCTAGATATCTCAAAACGCAACAAATCGTAAATAATACAATTTCTAAAACATTTCAACAGAATACTCTAGAACTTTATTTCGCTTAGTCAGCGTGTTTTTTGAACCAATAGAATTAGTTTGTTCGCAAATTTGGCTTTTTTTTTTTGTGTTCGCGAATATTCTTTTTATTCTTCCGCAAGATGTTTTAAGAACATTCAAGTTAATTATGTTTCCATGTATGTCTGTAAAATGAAAAATAATATATATTAATTTTTTAATTTTTAAGCCCTCGCTATAATATATATTGGATGTTATAATGGAAATATAAATAATGAAATAAGATCACCTCAATACCAAAAAAATACATTTTTGAAAATCAGAGAAAAAATGCGTTAATAATTTTTTTTTTAATATTTACAAAGTAAATTAATAAAAGTGCATTATTATTTAGGTTAAAAATTATTTTATCTAATATTTTGAAAGAAAAACTTATAACAAAAGAAATCAAAATACACGTGGTCTAGACGATTATTTAAAAAAAGTTGCGCAAATAAAATACTATTTTGTTTTTTATTTTATTTTTGTTTTTAATTTTATTTTGTTTTTAATTTTATTTTGTTTTTAATTTTATTTTGTTTTTAATTTTATTTTGTTTTTAATTTTATTTTGTTTTTAATTTTATTTTGTTTTTAATTTTATTTTGCTTTTAATTTTGTTTTACAAACACATTTTAGAACTTTAAAATATAATAAAAATGAATATGATTTGAAAATTATATGTAAAAAATAACAATCAGTGTTTTAAATACACACAAAAAAATCTATGTCGTCATGCACTAAAACTCCTATGAATTAAACATGCTTGAATAAATTATCAAGTCTGTGTAATGCGCCTGGAAAATTGCGTTTATTTTACATACTCAAAATAACAAAGAAAATGGAGAAGACGAGCTTTGACTAAAACAACAAGATTTGTTTTTCTTGGTATACATTTATTACTTAGTTTTAATCAAAAAAAATTTGCTCAGACGTTTTTTTTTAACATTCTCTTTAATATGAACACAACATGTCTCAGGACTTGGTAGTCCCTTTAAAGCATTAGCTTTTTTCAAGCAAAAAAATCGATCATTACAAAAAATAAAATTAAGTAGAAATTATTTATTACTATAGAATTAGAAATTTAAGTAAATTTTTTTAATTCAATCAAAAGTTGCATAAGCATTTCTTGCCCTCTCAAGATGATAAATACAAGTTTTTGTTATATATATTTCTTATATATATATATATATATATTTTAATAACTTCACATTAAAAAAAAATTATAACCGTTACTATTAACAATTTTGTTTTTTCTTCGATTTAATAATTAGCTTAATAGAGATTAATATATAATAATATATAATAATATATATATATATATATATATATATATATATATATATATATATATATATATATATATATATATATATATATATATATATATATATATATATATATATATATATATATACACACACACACATACACACATGTACATATATATATATATATATATATATATATATATATATATATATTATATATATATATATATGTATATATATATGTATATATAAAGCGACGTATCCAGGCCGATTTTGATACCGGTATACCGGTATGGGCCCCTAAATTTCAGCCCAAACTCAATTTAAAACAGTTTTATATTAGCATTTGTTGTGATCACAGAAATACCAACATTTGAAAAACGACTTTTAAAGCCAACCAAAATGCCTAATTCAAATTTACGTTGATGAAATAAAGAATATGTTGTAATTGGATTAAATGTAAAACGCACGTTTTGATTGGATTAAAATATGAAAAGCTTAGGATTTTTAAATAACATTTTTAAAATACATTAATTTGAGTTTCTCCTCCGCTTACGTTTCATTAACGTAATTTTCCAAGCGATTAAACTACATGAGCTTTAAACTTTTTCATTTCAAATAACAGTAAAAATTGTATTAAAAATACTTTAAATAATAAAACGAATGAAAGTTTTTAAAACATAAAATTAGAATAACATTTATTTAAATAATTAAATTAATATTTTAATATTCGCGCCAAAAAACTTAATTTGAATAGTAAGAGTAGAACTGAAAAAAAAAAGGTAATTTTTGAATGAAGTAATTAAAATTTTGAATGAATTTACCTTGTTTTAAATACGCTATGTAATAAATCTTATCAAGTTTATACCAAAGAGTCATACAAATATTGTTTACTAAACGTTATATAAATATTATAAATATTTCTAGTTAACAATATTTAATATTTTGAATTTAATAATTTAATAAATACTATTAATTATAATTTATAATTAGTAAGTGAATGGAGCAAGTAAATGAAAAGTAGCGAGTAGCGATGAATCGATGTTGTAGTTAAAGCCGTCGTTCTGTAATAAATGTAACATTATTTTGATTAATTATTTAAATTTTTGTTAGAAAAAACCTAAAAAACTAGGGTGAGTGATATATTTTATACGAATAAACTCTATTTAAATTTGAGTAAAAAAAAAAAAAAAAGGGCTTTTTAGGTAGACAGGATTTTTAGACCGGTATGCCCAAAAAATTTCTGGATACGTCACTGATATATATATGTGTATATATATATATATATATGTGTATATATATATATATATATATATATATATATATATATATATATATATATATATATATATATATATATTAGGGTGTCCCAAAAGTTATATTTTATTTAATGTCTGCTCCCACCCTCTAAATGTGTTCTATATGGTAAATAATACTTGAATTGAAAGATCTTTAGATAATAAAATATTTTTCAGGGTCCCTCAAGACCCATCATATTTTTAGAGGTCGCTCAAGACCCATCATACAAGTCCCTAATATTATCAAAATAATTAGTTCTTTAAAAGTATATCATGTTGGGTCTCAAAAGAAGCAGAAATTATATAAAAATTTCAAAAAAAATTATCAGTTTATAAAAAGTTATTATTTTAAACTTTGCTACCTAAAAAATACATTTTTAACAAAAAATGAAAGAATGCATTTTTACATAAACATTTAATGAAATTTTTTTTTTATTCAATGTTTTTTATAAAATAATGATTTTTTTGAAATTTTGAAGAAGATCATTGCATGGTTCAAACCACCTAAAGGAGATCAAGGAGAAACTGAACACAAACTAGAGTTAGACACAAAATACAAATCTGTTTGGAAAACGAGTCACAAGTTTAGCTGAGTATCATCTGTGTAAGAAATTGAGAAATACAAAGTTTATGACCTTTAGCATGATCCAGTGCTATAGCCAGGCCATTCAGTGTGATGGCTAACCTAAATTTTTTAAAGTTATTTTAAAGACTACGTTTATATGGTAGTCTTAGTAAGGTAATTAACTAATTAGTTTGTAGTGATGGTTTTTTATGTTTATTGTTAGGTACTTTAGTCACAATTTAAGTTGTAAGAGAA